ACAGTAACAGATTAAAACCTTTAGATAAACCAAACATTACTGCCACATATCTGACTCAATAACCATTAAAACAACTATTTTTCATTCATTTCAGACGGAACTATTAAATGACTTGTATTATATTAAACATTCTAACAGAGCCCATTGCTCTGTTCGAAAACCTAGGACGCATCCTTAGAAGACTGGATTCGAAGGCCGATTACGTCATAGCGCGGCGCCGAGGTCTGGTCGGATTCCAAGAGTCCTCGTTATGCGGCCTTAAAATGCGTCCTTCTTTTTGCCCGATTTGAAGGACGGGTCCGATGTATCCTCGGTATTCTTGGATATCCCAGGATTCATTGCGAGACCAAGCAAGCCGTGATCAGAGTAAAGGTTACTTGGCGCCGAACAGTGGTGAAAATTGGAAGTTCAGTTTAATATAATACAAGTCATTTAATAGTTCCGTCTGAAATGAATGAAAATAGTTGTTTTAATGGTTATTGAGTCAGATATGTGGCGGTAATGTTTGGTTTATCTAAAGGTTTTAATCTGTTACTGTGTAAATGGGTTTGGCTGTAATTTAAGGACAGATTCTAATATATCTGCAGGGTGGGGACTATAAATCTGATAGGATTTTTATCTTTTTATTGCTGTTTTGCACAATATGCTTAACTTCCTATTTTTTGTTGTTGAATATTAGAGATTTTGCAGATATATTTTTTATACATATATTGTTTAGATTTACTTATATCTTTCTACCCCTTTTATAGAATAGAATAGAAAATCTCTTTATTTTCCCACAATGGGCAAATTTACAGCAGCAGAAAGATTATTGAAAATGGTCACACAAATGTGGACCTTAGAAAAATGTATAAGAATAACATAATAGGGAAGAGTTAAAATATAAACAATAAAATACTGTAAAGTGTTTTAACAATATAAAACTGGGGAATAAATAACCAATATGCAACTATGGACATTTTTACAGTAATGGATATTAGAAAATAGGAGCAACATCAGAGATGTGCAGAATGACAGCAGCAGGTTATTTAACTGACTTTTTCTATCATTACATTTGATTTGATTTGTTCCTGCTCCCGCTGGTTGGAACCTTTATTCCACTCTGGATTCTTGTTAATGTAGTCTTTGTTCACTTCACAATAAAAAAGAAATAAATAAACAGTTTTGAAAACTTCTGTATTCATTCTTTTCCTGCTTTGTGTGTCAACGTTCACGGTTGCTCAGCAACAGAGCATACCGCGGTAAAACCCGCCAAAGGGTAGACCTGTTCGAATTTACAGCCAAAACTCTTCCGGTCTCCTTATTTTCAAGGACTTCGAAGAATCCAGTCTAGGTAGACCGCGTCCTTGGAGGACCCGTCCTAGGTTTTCGAACAGAGCCCATGTCTATGGAAAACACCAACCCTTCACACTGGATATTTTAGAAGAGGTGATACATCATACCAATAGAAAATCTTGGAAGACTTGCGATAAAAACAATTAGATTTTTACCGCCCTCTTTCGAACTGGATGTGTAATAGCACCAAAGACACCAGTCTGAAAAAACATATAAAGATGTCTTAAAAAAAATTATAAATAAATAAAAATCATAACGAGGTATTTTATAGTTTCATTGAAACGTTTTTAATAAACTTATTACATTACATTTTCAAAATGTTATGTAAATTGGCATTTTATCAGGGCAGTTCAAAATCATGTTGGTTTAATTTAGACTTTAGACTCTAGTTATCATTTCAGTCACTTATCTTCAGTGAACAACAGTATCTACCACTCTTAGGAACCAGATTATCATAACTAATGTCTTAAAATGTGGATTGTAAAATAAGAATGATCCTTTATTTGGATGCATACATTAAAATTAAATGAAAAATGCAAAATGTATATTCATTTCCACAAGCAGTATGAAAAATATTCTGAGCTACATGTGTGGTAAATTGAGCCTTTTTATGCTTAATTTCCGCTTTTATATTGGCTATGCACAAGACAAGACAGGACACTGATAAAATATGTTACAATTAAAATAATAAATGATCACTGAAACTTTGTGGTAAAAAAAGAGTAATAAAATTAGTATAAAAAAGGTAATATAACAAAAGTTTTTTTTTTTGTGATTTACTGAATTTACAGATAAAAATATGTATTCCGAATAGTTCTGCTTAATACAGTGTTGCAGCGTTTGATGTGTTTGTAACTTGGTACAAATAATGTGATTACTTTTGTTTGACTGATTTTAACCCAAAACCCATTAAAGGAAGCCTTAAGCTTACAGGTGCTGGTCATAAAATTAGAATATCATGAAAAAGTAGATTGATTTCAGTAATTCCATTTAAAAAGTGAAACTTGTATATTATATTCATACATTACATACAAACTCATATATTTCAGATGTTTATTTTGTTTAATTTTGATGATTACAAATGAAAATCTCAAATTCATCATATCAGAAAATTAGAATATTACTGAAGACCAATAAAAACAAAGGATTTATAGAAATGTTGGCCAACTGAAAAGTATGAACATGAAAAGTATGAGCATGTACAGCACTCAGTATTTAGTTGGGCCTCCTTTGGCCTGTATTACTGCAGCAATGCGGCGTGGCATGGAGTCGATCAGTCTGTGGCACTGCTCAGGTGTTATGATAGCCCAGGTTGCTCTAATAGTGGCTTTTAGCTCTTCTGAATTGTTGGGTCTGGTGTATTGCATCTTCTTCTTCACAATACCCCATAGATTTTCTATGGGGTTAAGGTCAGGAGAGTTTGCTGGCCAATTAAGAACAGGGATACCATGGTCCTTCAACCAGGTACTGGTAGCTTTGGCACTGTGTGCAGGTGCCAAGTCCTGTTGGAAAATGAAATCTGCATCTCCAAAAAGTTGGTCAGCTGCAGGAAGCATGAAGTGCTCTAAAACTTCCTGGTATGTGGCTGCGTTGACCCTGGACCTCAGAAAACACAATGGACCAACACCAGCAGATGACATGGCACCCCAAACCATCACTGACTGTGGAAACTTTACACTGGACTTCAAGCAACGTGGATGAAGTGCCTCTCTTCTTTTCCTCCAGACTCTGGGACCTTGATTTCCAAAGGAAATGCAAAATTTACTTTCATCAGAGAACATGACTTTGGACCACTCACCAGCAGTCCAGTCCTGTTTCTCTTTAGCCCAGGCAAGACGCTTCTGACGCTGTCTGTGGTTCAAGAGTGGCTTGACACAAGGAATGCGACAGCAGAAACCCATGTCTTTCATACGTCTGTGTGTGGTGGTTCTTGAAGCACTCACTCCAGCTGCAGTCCACTCTTTGTGAATCTCCCCCACATTTTTGAAGGGGTTTTGTTTCACAATCCTCTCCAGGGTGCGGTTATCTCTCTTGCTTGTACACTTTTTTCGACCACATCTTTTCCTTCCCTTCGCCTCTCTATTAATGTGCTTGGACACTGAGCTCTGTGAACAGCCAGCCTCTTTAGCGATGACCTTTTGTGTCTTGCCCTCCTTGTGCAAGGTGTCGATGTTCGTCTTTTGGACAACTGTCAAGTCAGCAGTCTTCCCCATGATTGTGTAGCCTATAGAACTAGACTGAAAGACCATTTAAAGGCTTTTGCAGGTGGTTTGAGTTAATTAGCTGATTAGAGTGTGGCACCAGGGGCCATCAATTTTGAACCTTTTCACAATATTCTAATTTTCTGATATGATGAATTTGAGATTTTCATTTGTTGTCATTTGTAATCATCAAAATTAAACAAAATAAACATCTGAAATATATGAGTTTGTATGTAATGTATGAATATAATATACAAGTTTCACTTTTTAAATGGAATTACTGAAATCAATCTACTTTTTCATGATATTCTAATTTTATGACCAGCACCTGTATATGCTACTATGACCATCCTATGCACCTGTACAATGTTGTATTTGTTTTTTTCTTTCACACATTAAAGGTCCCATATCACACCTCATACCATGCTAAAATATTAAGTGAGGTCCCCAGATACATAGATGAAGGCCATGGCTTTATGGAAAGGCTCCTACAGACTGTGCTTGACAGTTTATTTCCCCTTATGATGTCATAAGGGGAATGCTTTTCCCCAAAAAAAAAAAAAATTTTTGAGCACACTTTAGCTAAGAGGTCGAGAAAGGCAGTTAGTGGAAGGGTTTTTTTTTTTTTTATTTGTGAATCTTATACACAGGCTTCAGGAAACATATGGCTTTAAAAATATTTGTGAATTTTGCATAATATGGAAACTTAAAGCCCATAAAATTATTGAAGTATTTTGTTCAGGTAATTTTTTTTTATTTTGACTTATTTGGTGAAATAAAATTCCATGATTGGCTAATAAAGTTGATTCTAATCCAGTATGTTTCCATAAATCATAGACGTCTATAAAGGTACTGTCAAAGTCGGTAAAACTGGATTCCCTTGGATGAAAATACACATGTTCTGTTGAATGTTGTGAGCAGGAGACTACTGTAATATCAGTGGTGTATGAATAGACAGAATAAATAAACTTTTACTTATTTGGGGTGTTGGATTTTAAAATCTGTTCAACTAGCAACAAAATGGATGAAAAGAGAAACTAGAAACTGGTATTACACAATATTCTGCAACTAATCAAATATATAGTAATTTAAGGAGACACATTTTGCATATTTTTTCTATTCAGAAAGCCAAAGAAATAATTTATGCTTGAGTCAATTCTCACTAATGGCAACAATGTCTTTAAGCACCTTTTATACTTTTCATTAAAAAGTCTTTTTATCATGTTGGTAGATATTGGTATGGTTCATACTTGGTAGGAGTAAGGTTTCTGTTTAATGACAGACATCAGTCAAACAATATGACCACCTACCTTTGGAGTATTACATATGGCATCTTAATGATGTCAGGATATATTTAATATGGGGAATTGGTTAAATCCTCTTAGGGAGCCAAACTGTTGAAGATCAGCAGCAAACTTTCAGAACCACAGGAGACAACAATAAGATGGGCATCAACACAAAGTGAATAATTAATACCATAGTCCAGTGACAACTTTTATTGAAAACTATAAACACAGTACAGCATGTATAAAGTACCCTGTGCAGATAGATACCAGTGTATGCCTAGTATTTCTTCTTCTGAAAAATGCACATGTCCAATCTTTAGCGTTTCCAGTACATCAGGTTTCAAAACTATTTTACAAACAAACCAAATGCAGAAACATTTAATATGAGTGAAATGAGTCTTATGGACAGGCTTAAGAAGAAAACACAAAAGTAATTTACTTTTAATAGTTTAAAAAAAGCTGAAAAAGTACTTAAACTTTCTTTAGAGTACGATCTTAAAATGGATGACGGATATTGTTTTTGCCTGGCAACATTTTGCTCCCTAAATACACAAATAATTTTACAGATTTTTATTTTTATGCCTGAGTAAATGTATGTCAGTATTGCACATTGGCAGGGCACTAATAGTTTGCTCATTAAAAAAAAATTAAATAAAAGCAATGGTTACCAGGATCCATAGTTATCAAGCATCCAAAGGGAGGAGATTTGTCCTGCCTCACCCAAAATATTTGAAACAAGTGTGTTTTTGTTTTGGTCCTGCTTTTAGCTGTTGAAACAAATGCTTTCTCTGTGAGGAGTTTCCTGAAGGTGGTGAATGATGAGATCAGGATTGTTTCAATCCATGTTGTAGCCAAGGCACATTCATATTAGTTTGTGTGATCATCTCACTGAAAAACTGATTCAGTGGCTCAGTGCCAAGTTGAACTAAAGTCATTACAAAAAGTAAGCCTGTAAGATTTCAGCCATAAAGCAACTGCTTCACTAATGGATTCAACTGTGACTACAAAGATGTTTTTAAGCCTCATATTTCCACAGATCTAAAAAGAGAACCTGTCAGCAGATCTAGCAGGTGTTGGTGTGCGGACCTCCTGACTTCCTGCTGGATTCTGAGTGAGATGCTTGTTAAGTACAGGCCCAGATGGTTCCTAAAATCCCTTTTAAAATAATGAACCTTTTAACACGTGAAATTTCTCAAACACAACAAAATGAATGAAAAGAGAATTCAGAACATTTTGTGCACATGAAAACTATTAAAGAAATGGAAGAATATTTATAGTGATGTCAGTGGAGAGAGGCCGTCGTCTTCCCAGCCGAGTCTCCTGTGAAAACACCTCGTAACCCTTGGACCTCTTTTTACTATACAAGCCTTTATGTTCATCGGTTTGGCTAGAAGGTTCTATATTGACAAATATATAACAAAACTTGCAGGCAAAAATAGTTAGGTTTCAATAGAAACACCCTTTTTTCCTGAAAATACAGCAGTATCTGAAATAATCCTCTCAATAATGTTCATACTGTCCCAGTTTTTTTTTTTTTATTATACATCAGGAAGCTCTTTTGCCTACAAACAGAAAAAAATAACTATCTACAAACTTTGTAAACAGACCTGTTTATTTCTTTCAAAAACATAAATAACTCAATTATTAACAGCCAATAAAGCAGAAATAGGTTTTGAATGAGAAGGGCCAACCAAATAAATATACACCACCCTTCAGATAAAAGATAAGCTAAAAGTTCTGTCTCACAACATGACCTCGCGGCCAGAGGAGGACCTCACCTTCTCAATTCAAATAACAGCAATAACATTAGAGCAATAAAAACAGGTCACTTTCAATCTGAGTTTATAATCACCGCTTGCAACCCCAGGAAAAAAAAAAAAAGTTACCAAGGATGGTGGGACGAAGACCAAGTCCTTGAGTTGCAGCAGGGTATTAACAAGAACCAACAGAGAAAAAGATAAAAATCAAAGAATCCACACCAAGCCGTACATTCCTCTGAATGTCTGCTGTCCTTTCAGTCCAGCCCAAGCCAAGCTCACACAAGACTCCCCTCTCTGTTTAGACCTTTGTCTCTCCTCTCCAAGCGACCGGCCGTTTGAGTGGAGCTCATTGGTGGTGGGTAAGAAGGTGCAGCCGTGTGGAGCCGGGTCAGATCAAAGGGAGGTTTCCAGGCTGTGTAGTGGGCTCCCAGGGGCTGACAGGGTTCCTGATTTGGGGCCCTCTGGGAAGAGGTGGTTGCCGCTTTCTACAGCGTTATTGTTCTGGTTGGGTGAGGGAGAGACCGGCGTGCTGGGGGCCACGGTGGTGGCGGGTGTGGGTGAAGGCGAGGGAGAAGGCGGAGTGGGTGTGGTATTGCGTGGGCTGGCAGAATTACGCTTGGTGGGAGCGTCGTCCTCCGCGTCGGTGTCATCAATGAGGGGAATATGAGGCTCCGAGTCCTCTATCCGGAACTCGGGATGGGTCATGAAGTTGTGAATTGACGATCGCGACTCGGGCTTCTCCAGCCCCTCATAGAGGGAGATGGAGCTGCGGAATGCCTTCACCACTCGGATCTGGAGGAAGAGACAAGGTGAGACGTGTTTTTAGCCACACTGCACGACGACACCAACACAGGTTAACAATTGGATCAACACCCCGGATTAAAAGAAACTCTAAGAGGGTTTTAATCTCTCAGTTTTAATGGTGAGTTTTAAGGGATTCAAAAAAACAAAATCTGTGAAGGAGGAGCTTCTCAGACACGTGCAAATGAGACCAAGTTTTCATACACTAGATTGGTTGTTCTCACTCATGTTAGTCAAAGAACTTTTGGATGTTAGATCATTATTATCACGTTTCAGGGGAAACTTCATTTCTACATGTTACTGGAGTCTCTATGAAACCTGGTTTCCATCACATGGTACAACTGTAACTCATTTTATTTTTTAAAGCCATGCATCTTGGAATCAACTGGTGATCTAATGTGACAAACCATCTAGTTGGGCCAACCAGAAAAATAAAGTTCTGTTTTTCTTCCAATCTTTGAATGGCGAATACTGCAGTGGCAATATGTGTCAACAAGCCTAATATAAGAATTATGTCACTGAAGGCAAAACTTCTCAGTATCGAAGAAGTTTCAATGGTAAAATGTGTAAGTGGGTGATTGTGGAAGCTACCGTATTTTCACGACTATAAGGCGCACTTAAACGTCTTTTTTTCCCCTCAAAATGTGCAGTGCGCCCTATGGTGCGGTGCGCCTTATGTGTGTTGTAACTGCGACTTTTGAGACCACCTCATTGAGGAGATGATGAAAGAGTGGCTGAATGTAAGGAGACCAGGTGTTTTTTTTCCACTCATCACCATTAATCTGTAACTCCATGCGTGCCCATCTCACAGCTGATGTGAAAAACATGGGGAAACAAATTAACCCTGTGCTCGCTGTTCAACCGCTCAACATCGGTGTGAACCGGACCCAGCAGGTGCAGCAGAAGCAGCGAGTTTACATGCAAAGTCAATGGTTGACGCGCGTATAGGTGCAGCAAAAGGTCCTGCAGCGCGTTTTGAGCCGCAGGTGCAGCACGTCGGGATCGTTTAAGCATCTGACGCACCGCCAACGCGCTGCTGCTGCTCGAGATGGAAAAATTGAAGTTTTGCTGCTGGACGCGCCGCATCAACCAATCAGAGAAGCTGATCTGGGAGCTGACAGCGAGACAGACACAGCGCTCTGATGACATATGATATTAAATGAAAAAGGCTGGATAGATGAGGAGATGATGAAAGCGTGGCTGAGGGAGGTGTAGCCTATGTGAGGAGACCAGGTGGTTTTTTCCACGCATCACCATCGCTGCGTGCCCATCTCACAGCCGATGTGAAAAAAAAGATGAATCAAATGAACCCTGTGCTCGCCATTATCCCGGGGGTCTGACAAGGGAACTTCAACCGCTTGACATCGGTGTGAAGCGGCCGTTCAAAGTAAGGCTGCAAGCGGCGTGGGAGCGATGGATGACAGACGGAGACCACAGTTTCAGGATAAGTGGAAGGCAGAGCCGGGCAATTAACGCCACCGTTTGCGGATGGATTGTAGATGCTTGGAATAACGTGTCTGCTGGCTCTGTTCTTCAAGCTTTTGCAAAAGCCGGCATTATTTCTGAGGAGCTGCGCTGCACGGAAAGTGACTGACAGCGAAGAAGGGGAAACTGGCATGTCTGATTTAGCGCAGCTGTTTAATTCAGAAACAGAGGATGATGACTTTGATGGGTTTGATTAATACTTTGTAATAAATACATGAATAAAGCACAATCATATTCAGTTTTGCTCCCGCTCTATTTTTCTCCCTGAAAACTTAATTCAACAGCAGCCTCTGGGCGCGTCTCCTCCTCTTCAGCGCGGTGGCTGGCAGGTGTTTTTTCATCTAAATAATCTTAATCTTGCAGCTATATTTGCTGTGATCAGTGGGAATAAAGTAGTTTTAATATGTTTTTAAGTGAGAAAGTCCACCTGAAAACTTCATAATTGCACAGCGCAGCGCAGCGCTGTGTCATCTGCGATGTCTCTGTCTCACGGCCAGCTGCCAGGTTTGATTAATACTTTGTAATAAATACATGAATAAAGCACAGTCATACTCAGTTTTGCCCCCGCTGTATTTTTAAATACGCAGTAGAGCTATTTAAAGGTAGTAGAGGACATGTACCTGTATATAAAAAAACGCGCCCTATAGTCCAGTGCGCCTTATGTGTGTGTTAAATACAGAAATGGGACACATAACTGAGAGTGCGCCTTTTAGTACGGTGCGCCTTATGGTCGTGAAAATACGGTACTTAAAGGGAGGATAATACCTCATCAGGTTAACAGAGAGGCTGAAGGAACCAGCAGAGGTTCCTTTGTTTTACAACCTCTCACAACCTCGATTCAGATAAACATTGGTGGTTTTTAACAACTGGGCTGGTTATATTCCTGCAGCAGTGTGTTGCAGTGAGGATGTTGCAGATGTTTTTGATTTATGCCAAATATTGAAGCGTGGTCTGCGCTATGTTATTCCACGCCACAGCGCAAGAGGGACAATAACGAAGTAGCTGTGGATCTAGATACGGCCGAGGCAGTGGGGACAGGTTTGTGTGACAACGGAGGGTGAAAAAGAGCGGGGATCCAGCGTTCTCGTGCACCTCTCTCTTCTAGCTGATCCAGTCGTTTTCCACAACGGAGGGCATACAAGCAAAACAAGCCGGAAAGGTACCAAACAGGAAATAGGCATAGGGTAGAGCGGATGTAGATTTGACCAATCAGAGGCCTCCTGTCTGCGGTCACCTACAATTTTGGAGAGGTGCAGCAGAGTGTGTGCGGAAGGGGCGGGGGAACATTTGCGTTCACTGCGACACACACGCAGACGACCTGGTTTCTGAGTATAAATCAGCTTAATAGGCCTCTGCGTAGCTAACCAGTAGCTGAAAGCGGGGTAGGATGCAGAAGCATTTGCTGCAAACCAAGGGTTGCTGGATTCAACCCCAGCTTTCTCTGTCTAAGTCCTGTCCTTGGGACACTTTAATAGTACCGCCTACTGATAGGGGGCCCAGTGCGGCCTGTATTCAGAGGCCTGGCTCACCAAGGGGCACCTGTGGCTACAAGGTAGCTTTCTGCATCAGTTTGTGAATGACTGAATGTAGTGTGAAACTATGTGAAGACTCCGAACCATACCGGCCATTAAAACAGCAAATATTAACACAGTAGAGAAAATTTGCATGCATGTCTGGTAAATAGTATATTGTAATGGGATAAAAAAAAAATGGAAAAACGTGTTTACTTAATCATTAGGAATTTATCTTGAAAACAGTTCAACTTTTACTAATCAATGCCACTGAAATTAAATCTTTAGAGTATTGTCAATCATAGTTTTCAAGAGAAAACTTAATCTGCTTGAATAAGCCAAAAAATATCTGATCCATGCACTAATACATTTTTTAGTTTGACTTACCGGTATATTTTATTAAAGACTTTTACAAATTCCAGCAAGATGCACAACCGCCCATCATGTGCCTCCAAAGAAACTAACTTGGTACTCTTGTTTTTCTTTAACCAGCACCAGGGAGTCTGAATTTTGGCCAACTAAAGTGTTTGCAAAAGTGAAGAACCGTTTCACATTACTGTCACATTTAAATCACAGGCTGTGGTGCATTTTACTAGGATTTTATGTGAAAATCTAAAATGTTGAAGAGGAATGCCTTAATGAACTGTAAATTACACTAATGGAGAAGTAATAGCAGATGAGTACTATGTAATGGAAAAGAGGCATCAGTATCTTAATTTAACTGGAATTACAATTTTTTCTCCATTTGAATAGAAAAATATATTCTGAACTCTAGAGACTGGTGAAAACTTAAGGTTTGTAGTCATAGCAACCCATAAAATGAAACTTCTTTTCAAGATAGGGACATCAACCTGATGCAGGAAGTTCTTAATTTGACTTTTTGTATTATTTTCAGAAATCTCTAGCAGTACGGTTGTTTCCATTTCCAAATATGGAGAGGACTGTTGGTCATTTTTGGGCATGCTTATTAAAGAGCAAAGAGCAAGACAGATACAGAGCTAAAGGACAGAGAGAAGTAAGGGATAGAGAGAAAGACAGAAGTGAAAAAACAAGTGGTGGTCAGTTGTAGCTTATGTTTGTGGAGGAAAAACAAAGAAGCTGCAGCAGCCAAGCATGTCTACAAGCTGGTGTACAAGTCAAAAACAGCACAAATAGGAGAAAACTCACACACGAGACCAGAGACTTTGAACCCATGCAGAGCACGGTGCTACCTTTTGTTCAATGGTAGTAAACCTTTGAGTATAGCCCATGACACATTTCACAGTATCTAAGGAAGAATATTTGGGAAGTCAGAGGTATTCAAAGATCATTTGGGCCAAACTTTACCATATTGGACACATTCTATCAACAAACAGATGTTCACATAAAGGAAGAGTGAATCTTAGAGGAAGATGCAAAAAAGATGCGGTTGACCTGATGGTGTTCAGCCTAAAAATGGGAAAAATATAATTATTTATGACATGGTTAACATTCAAATGTGCATTTATTCCCTAAGGCTGTGGTTGATGGCAGTAAGATGTGTTAAATCCATGGAGGATGAGAGGGTCTTCCTGGTGATATCTGAAAGAGGAAAAGGCTCTAGGAGTCAGTGGGGGTGAAGTCCTTGGAAGGTCCTTTAAAGCACCAAACAAAAAAAATAAATAAAAAAAATCCCATTTTGACAGGAAATACTAGATGCCAAAATAACGAGTTTTCTTGAGCAGGGCTGGGAAAAACACGTCCCTTTAAAAAATTTTTTTTCTATTTTTCCTTTTTTTGACAAACATCAGTTTCATGTCAAGGAAACTTTAATCTTCCAAAAACCTTTAAAAATCATGATTTTATTATTTTTCTTCACAAGAAAAGCTGAATCAACAACCAAAAGAGCGTTTCAAATAGTTGTGGTAATGTGATGCTCTGAGGTTGCTTGGACTACTTACTGATACCGATGGAACAATCAGACAATGCCAGGTCTTCAGTTTGTGACATTCGGCAAATAAAGGATCTAGTGTTGATTAAGAATGAAAGGAAAAACCTGATTCTACATGCAGTGGCATGACCCTTAACAAGCCATTCATGATCTGAAACATGGCCAAAAGCATAATCTGAAGCAATGTGTGGGAGGGGTTACAGCACCAAATTCATAAGGTTGAATTTAAACACAACAAACTTTGTCCTGGCTGTTGTAGCTTCATTTGACTGCAGGGTGCAAGTGAAGATTCATCTGACCCTCATATTTTCCACAGCATGACCACAGTTGGAAAGAAAGGATTATTGAACCACTGACTGACAAGAAATCCACTGAAACAATCTGATTTCCACAGCGTTTCCATGTCATGGTTGTTCTCTGGTGTTTGGCTCGTGACCATGGGCTTATACTCAAAACATTTACCCAACCAGGGACTAGAGAGCTGCGACAAAGACCCATGAGTGCTACAAAGTCACAGAGCAGACTGAGGCGGCTGCAGACAAACCTGCTAAATACTGGATATAATATTTATCAAAAACAACGAGATAACAGTGAAAGATTTCATTTCTCTGACCCAAGCAGAAGCAGAACGGAAAACAGGACGACACAAATAAAACACCTTGACGCTTGAAGCGACCTGGTTACAGGGGACATTCATATACAGCAGTTATCGAAGCAGTATGGAAGATGTAGTTTGGTGTCTTATTTGGAATAAACGTAGGGGAACATTAAGGGAAGCATGAGGGTGTAAAGTTGAACGTTAGGTGAGAAAAAAAGAGGAAGAGAAAGATGTTAGAAGATGATATAAACAGAAGAAAAGTCTCATGCACTAAAGGAGAACACGCACTCACACCCCACAGTGGTAGAAGCGGAGTTGGCAGCAGTGGTAGTAGTAGAAAAGGCTACATGTGTAGGGCTAGAAACATTGGTTACATCGTGCTGCTGTTGGCTGGAGTTGGAGGCCTGCCGCCTTAGAGCCCCCTGAAAGGAAGTTCCACTCTGGAACGCACTCACAACATCCATCTGCAAAGAATCAGACAGCGTGACAGGAGAAAGCCCAGAGGGAAATAAAACAACAGCCAGAGGAGAGAGAGATGAAAATAAATAAAGATAATGCAGCAGTAACCAGAGAATATTTGTCACTTTGAAATTGAAAAAAGGGCAGAAAAACAGGGGAAGTGACCAGGTTCTGGGGTACTGACCAGAAGAACATTTTACCCAAAAATATGAGCTGGTTTTCCCCTTTTCTCTGCAGAACCCTTCCATCCTTTCAGCTAGAGCCATTCCAAAGTTCACTGCTGCAATGTGCTTTCCATCCACACAAATCAGTACTTCCACACTAACAGACTTTACAGCAGATGGACTTTGTTTCAGTCAGAAATAGGCAGAACAAATTTGCTTAAGCTCACACAGCAGAAAAAAACAAAAACAAGGAATTTTACTTTCAGGGTAAGAGGCATTCTCTAAGAATGCAGAAAGAAGGAACATAGCACAAACCGTAAGCTGGAAGAGCAATAGAGAGTTGGAGTTAAAGGGTTTATGGCTTTTGATTCCTTTGTTTCTGGGTGTGGTGTTGTGACCCGTGGTGAAATTTAAAGGACAATTACCTGAGTTTGGATCCGATTGAGGCCTCTGAACCAGAGGATTTGGCCTCGGCGAAGCTCTCGCTCAGCATGGTCGATCTCATCCACATCCTCCAGCTCCTCCAGTTCATCATCTGGTATCTCGTCTTTCTGGGTGCCGTGGCCGGCAGTTTTCAGGAATTTTAAGCGACTGGTGGGTACGGAGGAGATAACCTGGAATAAAACAAGGAAACAAATGAAGGAGAAGTGACTTACGATTTAATATTTGTAGATAATTCTGGAGTACTGTGATATTGCCTCCAACCATAAACGTAATCTAATCAGAAACTCTAAAGACTATTAATATAATAGCTGAATTTAAAAAACTTCAGGCTACATTAGTTCATGAATAGTGAGGAAAAATACGGCTGATGACACTAAATTGAGCGAAACTTCTAAATAAAGTAGAAGTGGAAACTATCCTGGACAATATGTGTGAAAGGCATGAGATTGTGTATAAATAATTAAAAGGAAACACCTATAGCATGGGGAAAAAACCTTTAGATCTTTCAGCTGTTCAGACTGTAGAATTATTATTATTTTACTTAGAGAAAATTTAACTTAAGCTATTCTAAAGACAGAAAAAGCTGGGAGAAAAAATTGGTAGCAAATAAAGACTTGTAAAAGTGAAAGGGTTCTGAAAAAATACATAATTAGGATACTTTTGAGCTGTTTTTTGTTGATAGATTCTGCATTCAAACCTGTTCTGAACCAGTAAATACACCAGATGAACAAATGTTTCTTTGTCACATAGTATGGTGACATTCAGTTTGTAAAAACCTAGGTGCCTTATTTAACAACAACCAGGTTGAACACAAGGGGGCAGCACATAGTAACATTTTGCCATAATAAATGCAAAGCAAAGCTGCTGTCCTACCTGTCCCCATAGCAAGGAGCCAAATCCTAGGAAAGTGCACCACAGCCATTGTTCAATGTTGAGCCCCACACAGCTGAATGGCTTCCCTCCAAATTGCACTATAACTATCTAGAAGAGCAAAGTAAGAAAAAAGGAAGAAAGCTTTATTTGAGTTCCTGTATGACACAAAACAGACAGAAATCTGTTGGCCAAACTACCTGAACAATAAATGTGCCAAAGACAATAGTACAAAAGATGGGGTTGTTGAAAACGCCCTCAAAGACGTTCCGTTCTCCATGTATTTTTCGGGCGTTGATTTCATTAAAAAGTTGCATCAAAACAAAGGTATTGAAAACAACTGTGTAGTGTTCAGAGGGTGGAGCATGGAGAGGTGCATTTCTGCCACTGTCGATGTCAAACAACTTCTCTCCTGCAGAAAATAATACATTGGGGGGTTTAAAAGGACACACATCCAAAAAAAACTGTTTTCCAATGAAAAGAGTTTCTTACCAGCAAAAAGCAGAGTAAAAATGATAACGAGCTGGTACACGGCCTGCCCGAGAATGTTCTTCATCATGGTGCGGGATATTAGAGGCTTGTTTCGGCCATACGGCTTCCTCAGCAGTAAGGATTCTGTTGGGGGCTCTGTGGCCAGAGCCAGCGATGCAAATGTGTCCATAATCAGGTTTACCCATAACATCTGAACCGCTTTTAGAGGGGAGTCCTGGTAACAGAGAGGAAGGAAAAAAACAGGAAGTTAATCCTACATTCTAAAACACTGCTAATATATAAAATGAAAATGTGCAGGTGAAAAAATGATGCCAACGGTGAAACAAACACTTAGGGCATTGGAAACCACTTTTTGATTCAGTAACAAAAAAAAAAGAGGTTTACCTGTGTGATGCACGCTCCTGTAAATGCTACAATGACCGCCACAACGTTAACAGTTAACTGAAACTGAAGGAACTTGGAGATGGAATCATACACATTCCTGCCCCACATCACGGCTTTAACGATGCTGGAAAAATTATCATCCGTCAGAATAATGTCTGAAGCTTCCTTTGCAACGTCTGTCCCAGCGATACCCTGAAAACCAAAAAAAAAGGGAAATGATTTATGTTCTGAAGAGATGTAGCTTTCTAACTTGCCGATAAGCATAGCTTGAAATGCTGCCGTTATGCAGAATGTTTAAAATGGAATATTCACCATGGCAAAACCAACATCAGCTTTCTTTAAGGCAGGGCCATCATTCGTACCGTCCCCCGTCACTGCGACTACCTGCCTCTGTTCTGCTATTGTGCTGTCAATAATTCCTGAAATTGGAAAATAATATAGTCTCAAATAAACACAGTTTAAAAAAAAATAAACATGGCGATTCACCTTTAAACTAAAAAACAATGATACCTTTAACCAATGTGTGTTTGTCTGTGGGAGAAGACCGAGCCAGAACTCGTAGTCTCGGCCAGATTCTGTCAATGCGTTCTTGTTCAATCTAAGAATATTAAACAAACAAAAAAAACAAAACAAAGCTCTAATACCATCTCAGCACATCATGGAGGAATTCAGGACGTTAGAGTGACATGTTGTGGCCCCACCTCTCCTCTTTCATTGCGTATTCTGCGGTTAAATTCTTTTCCCTCCAGGCAAAGGAAGTCATCTCCAGGAAGTAAGATACCACACTTGGAGGCGATGGCACGCGCTGTGTTAATGTTATCCCCAGTCACCATCCGCACTGTGATGCCAGCACGCTGGCATTTCCTGATAGCTTCCGGGACCTGAGACATAAAGGCCAACAATCACACATTAAGTGGGGTTTCATTATCAGACATCAGGATGTACTAAAAGAATGGAATTTTCTGTTTTAAAGCCAACATTAAAGTCTCTCTCTAAATATCCTCGATTGTTTCCAACAAGCAGGTTTACTGTCACACGAAGAAATACCCAGAAAACCCAGCAAAGAAAATGAAACCACATCACTGTAAGACATTGCTAAGTTGTCTTTACCCCATTAGTTTTTCGTCTTACTTAGGGCAAACAGCATTTGATGCAAACCATTAAAAAAAAAGCTGACCTCACATTACTCAGCTCCTTTCCATAGGGCGCCTGAGTGTCCAGCAAAGAAAAACCAATGAGCTGCTTAGCATGTCCCTTTAACTCAGATACTCAAATAGCAGAGGCTATCGCTAATTCTATCAACAACCATATTTAGATTAAAGAGGAGGGATTGGGGAAATATGCAAAAAAGTCAGCAGCATCTAAAAGTGACAATTTTGCATCAACACTTTCTTTTGAGAGTTGCCTCTTATAAAGGTTCAGAACATGCAGAGTGCTGTATGCAAGTTTCCTTATTCCTTACATCTGAACCGAATTTATTAACTTAATGTACAACTAAAGAGGAGAAACATGAGAGTTTTTAGAGTAAAAAAACATCAAAAAGAACAAAAAAACAGGCAGACTGCTTGGAGTGTATCTGAAAAGTCTAAAAATCTCAATTACATGAGGCTCTGAGCTTTGACTAGGCCGTTATAATTAGGTTTGATTTCAAGGACTTTATAGTTTGGTTAGAATCTCAGTCAGTCTAGCTTGGCTTGTCCTTATAGGATAAAGTCTTGGTAGTTTTTTAAACTTTTTTTTAAAGAACCTTTTATTTTTCTACAATTAAAAATTTCAAAACATTTGTTGATACAGGTGATGTTAAAAGCGATATAAAAGTTATAATTACACAAATGCATTAATAACTGATTGATCTGATAACAGATCTGGTTTCCAGACCTTTCTACACCTGTGAGGACAGATCATTTTTTGAATGAACTTTGAATTCTCGGGTTAAAAAGGTAGAATTTCATTTATAAAGATTAAGTCATCCCCTTTATCATGTACACCTGTTTAAGCTTCGGCTTTCCTTCTGATGGAGACTTCACGTTCTTTCATTTGACTTTAATGATTTTCTTTGCAACCATCACTTAAATATGAACAATGCATCTTTGTTTACAAAAACATTACGTCGATTTTTTCTTTAATACTTTTGAAATAATCAAAGATAACTGAAATTTCCAAAAATATCTGTGTATAATCACATATTTTGACGCCTTGTCTCATGTTTGCATATGGGAAAGCACTTCCCTAATACCGTAATTAAATATTGTTTGAAACTAATAAGGTTTTCCCTGACATTTCAAATACTAAATAAACCCTTGATGATAAAATAAATGTCCTAAAGTTTGTGGCAATAATAGGACAATGTGTGAAAGTAAAGCTTAGGAAACTAGTGAAAGGTTTATTCTTAGGAGTCATTTCTAGCCCTTTTCTTATCAACTCTTGATTGCCCCCATAAATGATTTCTGAAAATATGTCTCCGCTTGTTATCTAGATATTACACAATGAAGTTGATAGTTCCACATTAATGCAACTGGCTTGGAATAATATAACAATTAATGGACACTATGGCAACACAGCAATACAAAAGCTTGGTTTTGAAGCTTGTGCGACTGAAACACTTTTCAGGGTGGCTAAAACCTTTGGTTGATTTTTAAGGCCATTTGTGAGAAGACTCCAAATGGATGCTATTGTGTTTCTCTACATGTTACTTGCTGGAATACGGCTAAGGTGTAGTCCAAGTTTAACTGTTACCTCTGGTCTCACAGGGTCCTCGATGCCCACCACGCAGATGCATGTTAATCCAGTGAGAATATCGTTTTCATTGTCCCATTCAGGTTCACCATCAGAGGCAGGAAAATCTCTGTATGCAAGGCAGATGGTCCTCAGGCCTTCTGAAGCCATGGGCTCAATGACCTTCTTCACCATGTCATCTCTATCCCTCGGGCGGAAGATCTTTGGCTCACCATTTGCAGTAAGAATTTTGTAGCACCTGAGGAAGAAATTTGGGGGAAAAAAATATTTGTGAATGCAAGGAAGAGAGTGGATTTCCTGTGTTTGAAAACTGCAGGTGAAGAAGAAGATACGAGTTCAAATGTAAAAAAAAAAGTGATGAGATCGAGGTGTAAGCAAACAGAAAAACACATTATTTCAGTAGTGTGCTGATGTAATCAGATGTAACACTAAGCCTTCTGTGGGCCTGCTCCATTAAGGAGCTTACTGAGCTGTTACCGGCTCATTTTCTTAGCACTTGTTTTAAGTCTCAACATAAGGGGCTTGGGTGGGATATACTTGAACTTCTTAGCTGCTTAAGCTATTACACATAATTTAGTACAACGTCTGGCCAACTGGAACAAGTCTGAAAAGGTCCCAATGAAACAAGTTTCACTTTAATAGAGGACCAGAGAAAAAAAACAAACAAAAAATAACTTAAAAAACAAAAATAATAGGATGAAATAGGAAATCCAAAGCGACAAAAGGCAGACCCCAGAAATGAAAAGCATTGTTTACTTTTTAAGGAGAATTTCTGAGGCTCCTTTGCTGAACATCCGGAAGCTGCCGTCGGCCATCTTCAACACGGTGCTCATAGATTTGCGAACAGAGTTGAACGTGTAGACTTTGTAGAGCTTCTCTTCAGGGATTTCACTGCGGATGGCGTGATAGTCTCGTTTCAAATCATTAGAGAAGCCAAGCAAGGCACACTCTGTTTTGTTGCCCAGCTGACGAGGCAGACCCCCTTCTTTTTCTGGAGGCTGAGGAAAAACATAGCAAAGAGACATGAAGATGAGATTCTAAACCCAGATCCTGACAGTATATTTTACAGCTGGAACACATTTTTACACGCCTACCATGATATTAGTAGTGTAGGCGCAATTAACAGCTATTCCAACAATCAGCGTGTCTAAAGTAGAGGAAGGGATGCTTTCTGGTTCTGGGACTTTCCTGTGGTGCTTTTCAGCGATGAAGACCTGGACCACAGTCATGCGGTTCATGGTGAGGGTTCCCGTCTTATCAGAGCAAATAGCTGTAGCGTTTCCCATCGTCTCACAGGCATCCAAATGTCTCACAAGGTTGTTGTCCTTCATCATTTTCTGCATTAAAAGAAGGAGAGTTTTACTCATTTGGCATGACTTTGCTGAGAAACAGAAGGGATCAGTGCATGGCTTAGAGGTATCAGTCACATCTCTACAGCCTGGCCTGCTTGTTTTAATACGCGTGCATTTAAGCTGGTCATTACTGGCACAGGTGGAATTTACCTTCACAGAGTAAGCCAGAGAGATGGTTACGGCAAGCGGCAGGCCTTCAGGAACAGCCACCACCAGGACGGTCACACCAATGATAAAGAATTTCACAAAGAACTGGATGTAAATGGGCGTGCAGTCCTTGACCCAAGGCAGGTCCTGGATCCAGAATGTGTCTATTACAAACATCACCACCAGGATAATGACAGTGACGGCTGACATAAGCAGCCCTGGAAAGAAAGAAGAAATCAAAGATAAATCACATGAATGTATACGACTGGTTCCGTTATTCATCAGAAAGATGTTTTTCTCAATCACCTGCTTTCCCAATTTGCACAGCTAGTTTGGTTAGTTTGCCTTGGAGAACAGACTTTTCTTTCTTTGGCAAGTTGGCTTTTTTCTTCTCCTCTGCATCAGTTGCTTCGTCGCTGTTGAGAGGCTGCATCTCCATAGCTGCACCATCCTGTGCTTTTGCTGCAGCAAAGAGCACAAAGCAAACACGCTGTAACAGATCTGCAGAGAACTCACCTGGGTATTCATAAACACTGAGCAAGCAACAGATTTTAGTAACTATGCAAATAAACACTGCATACAGCATAATTTATACATCACAAACGAAACAACTGAAATTTTATGTATTTAATTTTATCCGACCTTTGCAATTATTGTACTGGTTTGCCTAATTTGCTGTCTGATTCATTGGTTTTGAAAACTACCTTTAAGTTTATGAGAAAATTTCAACAACTGGTAGAGGGGAGGAACAAAAAATAAGCAGTGTCTATATTTTTGCCATATATTTTTTCAACTATTTTTATAAAAATTAGGGATGTCGACTACAAGACAATAGGAAATATAAAGACACGGAGAACTGTGCAAATAAATAGATTTTATTCCCTAATATTCAAAGCTTTCTTCATGAGGGAGGTAAAACCATAACATGTCACATGTTTAAAGTCTTTATTACCTGCAATGCAAGTCTGCTATATGTTGAATTAAAAAAATAGTTAGTTGGATTAAGCATGTATTCCAGACCCACAGTTAAATTTATCAAAACTTTATATATGACCCCTTAATTGACTTTCATTCATAAAACAAACGATTCATAATAATCATATTTACAGAGTAGCATTATCAGGGTTCTCAACAGGATTTTTTATTATATGCTACACCTGCATAGTCCTTTTTTTCTCTATTTGCTAATTTAGCACACTCCTTTTTCTAGTTTGAGGCGGTGTTCGTATCCCCCCTCAATATGCAAACTATCAGATTGACCAGGAGACGTTGCTCTGATCCACCTGCAGCAGCGGTAAGGCGGCTGTGCCCAGCACTGCTGCTGATAAAAAAAATTGCGTATTGGCCTAAATTTCAGTGAAACGGGCACAAATATGAACATATACTGAACTACTCTGAAAAAAACTGACTATACAGCTTATTAGCAGACACCCACTTAAAGATATTAACAACAGGCTGTGTATTAGCAATATTTTATTCTATCTAGGAATAGACCCCCAAAACATAATAAAAATTGTATTGATATGAGTGAGATGTCTGAACACAGTGAAATAAAATGACTGCAGTATTAATGGTTATGCAAAGAAAAAAGATGCTAAAGTTAAAACATGTACATCAGAGTTATTTAAAACAACATTTAATTAGAGCATTCCGTGCCAAACCAGGAGAAGGTGGCTAACATGGCAGTCATGTTAAAAATGGGATATTTAAAAGCAAAATTAGGGAAACGTGATACATTACATACAGTAAAAATGGAAGGATGGTAAAATATCTGACTTTTCCCTAAATCACAATACCATCTTTTAAAGGGTTACACAATAAATCAAGTTGTTTAAATGGAGGAGAAAAAAACGCTTGAATGTAATTTGTCACAGGCTGTTAAGATTATTTTGCTTTAGAAAATAACATGGTACACTGTATGTGACTTTTTGCCACAGAAATACAGCAGTGCTGCAGCTGCTGTGGAATATGGCTTCTTTTGCACTTACACGGTCGCTGTAATCTCAGTCTAAAGGATTATTGTTGATTCCTGGCAGGCAGAGGGAATCTGTGCACCGGGGACCAGTGCCAGGGTTGTGGTCACAGACTGAAGCTACACTGATCATAAAGTCCTAGCAGCGCTAGAAGGCTGCCTAGCTATTGGAATTGGCAGGAAACAGCCTAGATATCATTTCCTTAAACCTAAAACTGCACAAGTGGAGCGCTTACAGTTCAGCTCTGAAGCAAATAGTTTTACACCAAAAAGAAAGGAAAAAAAAATCAAATCATAGGAACCTGAGAGACAACTGGAGAGAGCCATGGGTGGGAAAGCAGATGTTCTGGCCTCAAAATTGTTGCATGGCTTTAATCTCTTCATCACTAATCGCTATAACTGGATTCAATAGCACCTGCTGCTCAAAGCACAATGTGCCAGGGAAGGACGAGAGAAAGGGAGGGCCAGACAGCACACCGGACAGCCGAGAACAGCCCGTACTAAGTTTACCCTGACGGTGTCCAGAAAGAAATAAAAATGCTTTTCTTTTCCAATTCTATTGGAAATGTATATATAGCATAAAAGCATCTAAGCCAAATTAAAAGTGTATATTTTATTTTATATGAAGCTTTAACTCAGTGTTCCAGGGTATGAAACATACCTTTTTTTCGATTTTCCACTGATCCATCCTGTTTCTTATCTATCAGAAAAACAAAAACAAACCAAAGATAATAAACTTACAGAAAACACAGATGGTTAAACAAATACCATGGGGGAGCGTTCTAAATGTTTGATCCCTATACGTTTAAAATCAGAAAACAGATGCAAATGATTTTTGAATCGGGTTAATTTCATCCTGAAAGCTCCACACATTAGGGGTCCGTGCGTAGCTCCTGTTGAAAGCACACTCATCACTGATATACTCGGATGAAAATGTAAATTTCATGCATAGTTATATTTATTGAGCCCTAACACTGTCATAGAATCCTCCTTAGATTCTGATCTTTTTATATCAGTGTGGTAACTCTGACTTTGAAGTAATTGTCGTCTTATTTGGTCCATCTTAACATACTTTCATTATATTGATGATAAACACTTAAATACAGGTTGCTGCCCATCAAAATTTTTGTTTTAAAAACAGAAGCACAGACATAGCTGGTGATAGGCATTGAACAAAAATCAGCTTTATTCTAAATAAATAAAGTGTAATCAGGTCAACCTAACGAAAACACTCTTTAGCATGCAAGTGGTTATCAAGAAAACTCAGTTACCCATTTGCCGTTTTAGTGAGGTTCTTAAAATTTAGGTCAGAGGATGCTCAGAGACATAAGCCATTTAAACGGAAACTGTATCTAATGCAACATGAAGAGACATGACTGTGTCTCACTGAAGGTACAGCAGACAGCAAAACTTTTAGATCAAAGAAGGTCAAACCAAGTACAGCAAACTTCCCTTTTATCCCTTGAGGCATCCCTTCAGCCTCCATCAGGAAACATTGTGGCAACATTTTAGAAATCCCGGATTTGGAGTTAAAAAAAAAAAAAAAAAACATGCACAAAGAAAACACTGTTTTTGTAGACCCAGCCATATTAGGGCCCAGTGATGCTAAAGCCTTTTTAAATTTGTAGCTTCATACTGATTGTATTTGTTTTTAAACAAATTTAATAATGAATTATCTCCCTTTATGAAAATGGACACGAGAAGTTGGCAGTAAAAATGTGTTGCAAGGCTCTGGGAAAAACCTGCTGACCACTAAGAGTGTTTGTAAACTGGGTTTCCAGGATAGACAACTAAAACCAGTAGGATAGACAAGAGTGGAACACCACCAACTTTTTCGCTGTTTTTTCTTCTCCTCCTTTTCCTTCTTCTTTTCCTCTTCATCTTCATCGTCGTCTTCGGCAGCCCCGAGTAGACAGAAGATAATTCCAGTTTGAGAGTTGACCCCCACAGCAGTCACCACCATTTTTCCTGAGCCTTCCATTACATGAGTGCCTTTAAACAGAAAGGAAATGTGTCAGTAAATACATGAAAGGTTAAAACACAAGTATAGAAACCATTTTACAAATTTTTTTCATCCATATTTAATTATACCTTTTATAACCTTACTGATAACGGATTTCCTTTTTTTTCCTTTGTTAATTTAGGTGCAAATGTTAAGCAGAAGTACTTTGTTCAGTGTTTTAGTAAGGCGATATGCAGTACAGTCAGGTAGACATAAAAAAAGGAAATACAAATAACGATGCAGAAAGAAGCGATTGCTAATACAGGGACAAAAATCAACAAAGCAAAAACATTTTATCATATTTCTAAAAGAAAAACTTATTGTTGTGACAGTCAATAACAGCTTGAACTGATTCCATTCAGCAGCGGGAACAGAACACCAAACCCCTTTTTATTCTAATAAATCTACTTTAAATAACTTCAGTCTTTCAAGTGAAACACGCAGCCTGGCATAAAAATTCTTGCATTTTAAAATTTTTCTTGGACAATCTCAGCAGCAATAACAACTAGACAATAAACAATTTCATAATAAATAGCTTTTCCTATTATTTTCTTTCCAGATCAATTATTCAAGGAACTCTAATAAGACCTTCCTTACCATGTTAGTGTCGTCATAGTAATAAGTATTAGGAGACCAATGAATCTCCTATAAATAAACAATGTGATTAGGGTCATTTTCCACACCTAACCACTTTGCACACGCAAAGCAACTGAAGCATAACATTTATATTGCAACTAAATAGCTCTTTAATTTTACGCTCATTAACTTTGCTAAACAAAAGTTCAGGTTGCTTTAAAAATGACTTCTAGTACAAAGGGAGCTTTTAAAGGATAAAAATATATTATTAGCATGGAACTAATTATTTATATTTTCTTTTTCCTTATATCCTCAAATTTAAAAGTGCATTGTGTGAAATTTAAAGAGGTCAATAAACAAAAGGTAGTGGATTATTAGGTGGAAAGATAAATATTTAAAAAGCAGTTATTTATTTTTAGCAGAAAAGTTTTTGAATGCGTTTGTATTTGGCTTCTTAAAATTGGATCTACATATCTTAGAAGGTTTTTAAATAGTTATATTATGAACAAATAAGACTTGGTGCCAAGACACCCTGATAGAGCAGGGCTACGTGTGGGGATGAGAAGTGGAGGTTAAGTGGGGATGTGGTTTAGGTTGAAGGAGGTGGAAGCTAGCTTAGCTTTATTCAAGCATGGATAATGAACAGAAGGACAATAAATCTTTTGTCTGAGTCAGATGATTTTATAAAGGCACGTGTTGTTTGAACCAATAGAAAAAGTCAACTACAATATTAACTATTCAACCCAAAGAGGGCAGCACTGAGATAGTCTTAATACCAGTTTTGCAAAATAAAATAAAAATTACATGAAAAACATTACCTGATAACATCATTGGATCTTTTTCTAGTGTTTTCTTCACATGGTCCGACTCTCCTGTGAGTGAGCTTTCATCGATTTTAAGATCATTGCCTTGTACAAGGACTCCATCCGCAGGTAAGAGGTCACCTGGAACACATTGGGGATCATTTATAAATCCCAAATTCATGTATATGTACCTGTAATACAAAACTGCTCTTACCATATTTTACTTGTGCAACATCGCCTACCACAATCTCAGCCACGGGAATTTGGATAACTTGTCCTGCTCGGACAACAGTAAATTTCTGCTCCTGCTCAATTCGGCTTTGGAGGCCTCTAAACTGCTTGTCTTTACTCCAGTCATTAAATGCTGTCACCAACACAACACAGATAACTGAAAGAAGAATGGCAGCACCCTCTATCCAGCCTGCCTCAGACTCCCCTTCATCATCTCCACCACCAGCAGCTCTTCCACAATCTGCAGAGCAAGACAGAGATAAAATCTTGATTCAGATACCAGAAAATCCTCCACATAGTTAAAAATACGGTGATGGGAGAAATGTTTTGCCCTTCTACAGATTTATTTTATTCACGTCTCCGATCATACCAATTTTTTGTAAAGCATAAGAGAAGTGCTTTAAAAAAAAAACTACTTTTTGAATCAATTTGACTGTATGATCTGGTTGAACTGTGACCTTGAGGTGACGTGTTGTGAATTTGGCGCTATATAAATAAACTGAATTGAATTGAATGATTTCATTAATCAAGAGAAAAAAATCCAATCCAACCCGTCCCTGTTTAAAAAAGCAGAAGAACCGAACAAGAAGACAAACTTTATTTACTTTATTGGTTATTGTTCATTATGAAATTATTAAGAGAATTGACAAAAACGGCACCTATGAATGTTTTAAAATGAAAACTACATCTGACAAAAATGACCATAAATGCCAACATCACATTTAGAAATCTATTTATGATCCATCTACAAAAATATTTTCTGAACCCATGAGACAAAAGCTCAACATTTGGCAAGGATTTTTATATTTTTACAAAGGGCAAAAACCTAATGGCATTTCAAAAAAAGGATCTTCCTATTTGTAGTCAAACAAGGTGAATGTAGTGCTGGGGTCTAAGGCTGCGTTTCTGCTTCAAGCAATGCTGAACTCAGTTTGATTGAAGGAGCCAAAAATTCGGCTCTGAGAGGTAAAATGCTCCCAAGCAGAAAAATAAAGACTTGTTTCCATTCTGGGTTTTTATGCACATTTTCACATAACTATGAGAAGTGCTTGATGAAAACAGCAAACTTTTAATCAAACCTAATAAATTTTCTTGAAAAAGAGATGGCAATATATCTGTTATGTTCTGACGGAGCTAATATTTATCTTACATGACTGACTAGTTTCCACTGCCAGCGTCCTGAATGCAAGCTTTAGAATCGGACTTCTCTTTCCTCATATCCAAATGACGTTAAAGTAAGCACAACTTGCCTGTTTGCAACACATTCATCAAAATCTCCCTCCATTACTGATCAGTGGTCTGTGCTAGCTTGTTAACTCTACTTCCTGTTTACTACAGGCAAGCATAACTTAAAGGTATGACAACATTATGTTTGGCATTGCTTGGATAATTTGCTCCAATAGATGAAAACACTTCCACTTGGGTTTTTTTTTTTGGACATAAAAGTTCACTCAAAATTTGTACAGCATTTTGATAAAAAAAAAAAAAACAGCTAATGAATGGCTGTAAAGACTTTGAAAAATGGTGGCTTCGTTTCCTCCACAGCAATGTAAAAGGTTTATTTACAGTTAAACCAAAGGTGTTGTAACAGTCATCCCTGATGGAGGAACAAATGTTTAAGCAAATTATCATCCAAAGGAAGAATTTTATTATCAGTTTCTGATCAAATTAATTGGAAGGTCAAAAATGTTTTGAGTTGACAAAAAGCCAGAATTATTCTGAAAGGAGAAAACATCTTTCTCCAACATCAAAGAATGAAAAACTTCTGGAACAGTTTCATGAAATACTGCATTAATACAATAGCACATACAAATAAATAATCCATGTAATTCAGCAACATTTCACTTACGTTCTCTTTCAGCATCTGGTGGTCTATAAAAAGAAAGGCCTAGTGAAACTATGGCTGCCACTTCAAGAATAATTAATGTGACATCCTGTAGTGCCTCCCACACTAATTGTAAGAAAGTTTTGGATTTTTTGGGTGGGATTAGATTTTCTCCAAACACAGTTTTTCGCTTCTCAATATCAGCTGGCTGTCCACTTAGACCTGCAAGACAAAAAGAAAAAATATATCTCAGCAAGTAAATAATTTTTCAAAAGGAAAAAGAAAAAAAACAGTATGCAAGCACTTATAATTTGATGACAGCTACATTTTAGAGCACTTAATTGTCAGCCAAAAAATTGCTAAAGTCATGTGTATTCAGAGCATTTGACGAAACATATTCGGGGAGACCCTGCCCTCTAATGGGGACACACATTCAGTGGACATGTCAAACATTTTCACCTCTTTCAGGCATTCCAGACAATGTGAGAGCTGAGGTCAGGTCTAACCCCACAAACTGCTTTTCTAGTGAAATGACCAACTGACTCAGAGCTGAATCAGATTTGGACTCTGGTACCCATGAGCACTGCGGTCCCTCTGACACATTGTCTGCCTGGCTAAAGAACCATTCAGCCATGTATGCAGGGAGCACTCTGCAGAAAGCCATTCAAATGCCTCCACATTAAAAGCACAATTATATAGTCAGAAGAGACTCCACACATTTGATGATGCATGACAGTTTTCTAGTCCTATTCATGCTGCATATGCGTGGGTAACTGACTGTAGAGACTAGCTAGAGGTTTAGGTTTGTGTGTGTGTGCGCGCGGGAGCGTGGAAGAGAGGAGGTGGAGTAAAATCAGGATCATGAGAAGTGACTAAAACTGTAACTGATGGGCAGATGTGGGTGGGCTGAGGTTGAGGTGCTGGTCAAAAATAAATTATTGAACACTGGAACTCAGGAAAGCAGCTCAGGTTTCTTATATAAAGAAAGAGAAATCCTGAATAGAAATGGACTGGATTAAAAGAATCTGTATTTTATTGCCAATCCCATCGTTTAAAACAGGACTGACAAACTTTACAGTGAAGGAAAATTAGTCATCAACCAATCCATAAAATCAAATTTAAGAAACAGAAATTTAGGATGAAAGGCAACCACCAATAAAAAGTTCCCATTAGGGCTATCACCAGAGCATTTATAAAATCATTTTAACCTCTTCCGTTACCCTATCACTATTTAGGTTTCACCCAGCTACCGCCCAACCCTGCCAACATTTCTAGCAGGTGGTGGCTTCCTTTGTGGTTTTGTAATGGAAAGTTCTTAGCTTGTGTTATGTGCTTCGGGCACATTATGATTTTTGTCCATTTCTTTTCTTTGTTTCTTATAAACTTTAGTTGAAGGATCTTTTGTTAATATATTTTGGGATTCTTTTAGCAAGTTAATTATGTTAATTTGTGGTGCTGTCGTCCGCCTATAAATAGGCTGGCCTTCAGCACGTTAGCGCGTTCCTTTCCAACCTCGTTTGGACGCCACTTCCCACCTGCTTCATTTGCTCCATCGTGCGCGGTGCGCACTTGTCTTGTCGCTGCGGCCTGCAGCGGACGTTCCAGCCTGCCATGTGGTATTTTTGTTACCTTTTTCTTACTTTTTTCTTGAGGTTTTTGGCCTGGCGGGACCGGTAGTCCTGTTTTCGATTTTTCTTTCGCTTAGGTTATTTTTTGCCTTTAGTCCGGTACCAGTAGGGGCTTCGACGGCCCTGTATAGGGTTGGCCCCCTGCTGTACCGTTTTATTCTGTTTGATCGGCCTGCCAGGTCCAACTTTCTGTTGTTACTTTGGGTTTCTTTTTTTTCTTTTTTTGGGGCACGGGATTTGAGGGCCGTTAACTATTTTTCTCTTCGCAGAACATCTGAAGAAGCCGAACCAAGAACAACTAAAACGGAGAGAATTTATTAATAAAATATCTTTTTTTGAACCCTCATTTTTGTGTCGTGTCCTCAAATATGTTGTGTCCTTGGTGGGCGTAACATATTTTTTGGGGGCTTGTTTAAACAAAGTGTGCCTTTTAGAGACAGGTCGTGTCCTACGGTTGGTTCTTGTTTGTTGGCGGTTGTGCTGGGTTTGTGTGTATTTTTGCGCAGCTGACGCGCGTTGCGCTGATTAGTTAGAGCATTCGGTTCTGGTGGTGCTGTAGCTTCATTTGTGCAGAGGTGTTCCTGATTTGGTGTGGCTTGATTCCAGGGGTAGACATGGAGTTTGACCTGGATGAGTTTGTTCGAGGGCCCACGTTGGATACTTTGCGTAACTGCACAAAGGATCAGTTGCTGTTAATAGCCGAGCATTTCAAGGTTACCGTAGATAAACGCGTTAAGAGGGGAACAGTTAAAGCTGAGTTGTTAGAAGCGCTGGTGCAGATAGGAATTTTTCCTGCTACAGTTTTTCCGAAAAGTCCTGTTGGATCGCCATCAAAGGCTTCGTTGAAAGATGACCCGGTGCGTTTGAAGGAACTGGAAGTTGAATTGGGTCCGCTTGCTTTGAGAGAAAAGGAGCTGCATCTTGAACAGCGACGATTAGAGATACAAGCCGAACTGCGTTTGAAGGAACTCGAGCTTGGTGCTGAGTCCTCACAACCCAAATCGACTGATTTTGACGTGAGTAGAAATGTTCGCCTGGTTCCTCCATTTAATGAGCGGGATGTTGATAAATACTTTACTTTATTTGAAAGAGTGGCACTCACACTTAAGTGGCCCAAAAATGTGTGGACTTTGTTGTTACAGTGTGCATTAAGTGGCAAAGCGCAGGAGGCGTATGCGTCTCTTTCTGTGGCTGATAGCCTTGATTTTGAAAAAGTTAAAAGTGCTGTTTTGAGGGCATATGAACTAGTACCAGAGGCTTATCGTCAGAAATTTCGTAAGTTAAAAAAACGCTACAATCAAACTTATGTGGATTTTGTTAGAGATAAGGAAATTCTCTTTGATCGTTGGTGCGCTTCTAAGAAGGTTGCCGATTTTGCGCAGCTTAAGCAACTTATTTTGTTGGAAGACTTTAAAAATAATTTGCCTGAGAAAGTTACCACCTACTTGAATGAAAATAAAGTCTCAAATGTGTCAGAAGCTGCGGTGCTCGTTGATGAGTACATGTTAACGCACAAAAGTAATTTTGAGCGCTCACATCTCTTTAGTAAGTTTGACTACTCTGAAAATAATGGGAAGGAGTGGGCCAAAACTGCCTCGCTTGTTGAAACAGATGTATCTGCTGCGCTCGGTGGCGTGGGAGGCAAATCGGATAACAGGTTGGAATTAAAAACTAATGGGACGTGTTTTTATTGTAAAAAGGGTGGACACGTCATAGCCAATTGCCCGGTTTTGCAGAAAAAGAACACTAAGCCCGTCGCTCTAATTAAAACCGTGAAAGGCGATGTTCATCCGCTTTCAACACAGCCTTGCGAGTATGCTGATTTTAAGCCTTTCATTATGGATGGATTTGTTTCTTTGTCTCTAACTGGTGAAAAGATCCCTGTAAAAATATTACGAGACACTGCTGCCTCTCAATCTTTTATTATGGAGGGAATCTTGCCGTTGAATAACGACACTGCGATTGGCTCTGATGTTCCAGTGCGTGGTTTTGGCATGCAAGAAATCTGCGTTCCTCTGCATAAAATCGTGATCCAGTCTGAGCTGTGGTCTGGTGACGCTGTGGTTGGGGTGCGTCCTAGTTTTCCAATAGCGGGCGTCTCCATGATCATGGGCAACGATTTGGCTGGGGGTCGAGTATTGGTTACCCCAGAGGTTACACCTGTTCCGGTGTTGAGCGACTGTCCAGATGCGCTCGCCCGTAAATTCCCAGGTGTTTTCACGTCATGCGCAGTTACGCGTGCAGCACTTAAACGTCATCAAGCCGAGAGGAAAGATGAGTTTGACTTGAGTGGAAGTTTTTTGTTCAACGCTGAATCCGAACATGTTCCATTGAAGCGGACTGTGGAGGATGACATGTTGGATGTGAATACGCTATCATGGTCTAGGAAGCAGTTGATCGAGCTCCAGAAAAGTGATAAGAGTTTGGAGTCATTGTTCGGCGATGCATTAACTGATAAGCCTGACTCCATTTCTACTGGCTATTTTTTGGATGATGGTCTTCTGATGCGTAAATGGACCCCTTTGAATGTGTCTCCTGTTGAAGAGTGGAGTGTGGTGAAGCAGATTGTTGTTCCATCTCCATATCGTTCAGAAATTTTGCGGTTGGCACATGATAATCCGTTAGCGGGTCACCTTGGCATCAGAAAGACCTATGATCGCATTTTGCGTCATTTCTTTTGGCCAGGATTGAAGAGCGATGTCGTGCGCTATTGTAATTCGTGTCACTTTTGTCAAGTGTCTGGAAAGCCAAATCAGACGATTTCTCCTGCTCCTTTGTATCCCATCCCAGCCATCACTGAACCATTTGAGAGAGTATTGGTTGACTGTGTGGGTCCGTTGCCTCGAACCAAAGCGGGGAATAAATTCTTAGTAACGGTGATGTGCACCTCTACTCGTTTTCCAGAGGTTTTTCCGGTGCGTAAAATAACTACGCCCGTAGTGGTTAAAGCATTGACAAAGTTTTTTTCATTGTTTGGTTTACCTCAGGTTGTGCAGACTGACCAGGGGTCTAATTTCATGTCTAGAGTTTTTGCACAGGTTTTACGTCAATTGGACATAAAGCACTGTCATTCCAGCACTTATCACCCAGAGAGTCAGGGCGCACTCGAGCGTTTCCATCAAACTTTAAAAACAATGCTTCGCACCTACTGTTTGGAGTTTGAAAAAGACTGGGATGAAGGTGTACATTTACAAATGTTTGCTATTCGGGAGGTGGTTCAGGAATCTCTGGGGTTTAGCCCGTCGGACTTGGTTTTTGCTCACACTGTTCGCGGCCCTTTAAGGCTGTTGAAAGAGAAGTGGTTGTGTGACAAATCTGACCTGAATTTGTTAGACTATGTTAGTAATTTCCGGATGAAGTTGAATCGTGCGTGTGAGATTGCTAAAGAGAATCTTAAAACTGCACAGGCTAAAATGAAGTCCTTGTTTGACAGAAGGGCAGTTTTGAGAGTTTTTCAGCCTGGGGAGAAAGTGTTAGCGTTACTTCCGGTTCCTGGTTCCAGCTTGCAAGCGCGCTATAGTGGGCCTTATACAATCACGAGAAAGGTTGGTAATCGTGATTATCTGATCTCTACTCCTGATCGGAGGCGCACTT